AGTTCTATTGTGTTCTGTTGTGTTCTGTCCTGTTGTGTCCTGTTGAGTTCTATTGTGTTCTGTTGCGTTCTGTTGTGTTGTGTTGTGTTCTGTGGTGTTCTGTTGCGTTCTGTTGTGTTGTGTTGTGTTGTGTTGTGTTGTGTGGTGTTCTGTTGAGTTCTATTGTGTTCTGTTGTGTTCTGTGGTGTTCTGTTGCGTTCTGTTGTGTTGTGTTCTGTCCTGTTGTGTTGTGTGGTGCTGTGTAAAGTTGTGTACCGTTCTAAGGCGGCTGTGTGTGGGTCAGTGTGTTCCAGAACCATGTCCAAGTCTTTGAAGAAGATCGTGGAGGAGAGTCGGGAGAAGAACCTTCCAGAGGTGGAGATGTGCGACCGCAGCATTTCCAACATGCTGGACGTCCCGGGACTGTGTAAGACCAGAACCATGTCACACTTCTACTGAGTCGCTCTGTGTGACGTCACTGCAGCTGCAGCCAATAGCAGCGCAGCGCCGATGAAGGTGGTCTCACCTGAGCTGCAGACGTGTGTTGCTGATAGAAGTCAGTGTGTTTCTGGGGCTAGCCTGCTAGCAGCAGCTCGTCATGGACCTGCTGCTGTAGTCGGCTAAAGGCAGCACGTCGTTGTGTTCATAGAAATGTGCTGTTGGGCTTCTTGTAATCGTAACACATGAACCAGCTAGTTTTCAGGTGTGGCTCTTCAGGACGGGAGCCACCAAGCTGCTCATCTGTGGTGCTGTACTGACTGGATGTTCTGTGTTGTTTCAGTCACTCTGTCCAACATCACCCAGCTGGTCCTCAGCCACAACAAGCTCACAGGTAAGCCCCGCCTCCGTCCCCTGCCGCCTCAGCAGGGTGCCTGCAGGTTTGATTACTGACACCGTTCGTCACCGTCAACGAGTTAACGTCACCGGGTGCAGGTTTCATCTGAGGTCTGGACTCCTCAACCAGGACCAACACTTCCTGCCTTCAGTAGAACTGTGATGCATCATTTAGTGCATTTCTGAGCCAGCTGATGGCAACATGTCTGTGTTGACGTTCAGAGGGTAGAGGTTGCTGCCAGGTTGCTGTCAGGTTGCTGCCAGGTTGTTGCTGCCAGGTTGTTGCTAGGTTGCTGCCAGGTTGCTTCCAGGTTGTTGCTGCCAGGTTGCTGCCAGGTTGTTG